TTTCATACTTCCCGTTTACCAAAAATCTTTCTTCTCTCATTTTTTATCAAAATAATTACAGTTTCTATAAAAATCACTTTTATCCATATTTTTCTTACCCTACTTATCACATCTTCATATTCTTTCATTAATAATCTATCAATCACATCTTACATTTACTTATCATATCAAGAGTAAAATTAGAAAGTCAACTGCAAATATATTTTCTTTATTTCTCTTATTAGTCAAAATAGGAATCGTTTTGGTATGCGAAGGGGGTATTTTGTACTCTGTGTATAGTCAGTGTGCATTTGATAATAGTTTCAACATTTAATTTTATGTTTTACAAAAATTATCTAATGACAATATTTAACTTTAGTATTTTTAATTGCTTTCTGCCGTTTTGAAATAAACTTCGATAATTGATTATTGTTGTTATTGTGTCTATATATATATATATATATATATATATATATATTTATTTATTTATTTATATATATATATATATATATATATATATATATGTGTGTGTGTGTGTATGTATATGTGTGTGTGTGTGTGTATATATATATATATATATATATATATATATATATATTGATGGAAAAAAATGCTAATAGAACATAGACATTATATGATTTTAAGGTACAAACATTTTTGGTTTACAAATTTTGAAAGACATCTTTATAAACAACATTATTCGTACAATTTGTGGGAATATTGTCTTCGTTGCATATCAGAATCTTCAACCTACTACGATTTGTTACTCTTGAAACTGCAACATATAGTTATCCATAACTAAATAATGGTTTCCATTACAATAACCCAACATGTTTCAGTGACTACCCCCGACTCTTGTTAATCGTCATTGAGTACAAAGTAACCACAAAGAATTGTCTTCTTTGAAACTTGAACGAAATTCTTGTATCGGACGGTGTCAATGTTCGTCTTGGAATAACGACTTCTTCACCCATGTGGCTTCCAGATACCCACAAGGATTAATGTATACATATTTAAGATTCTTATTAATGGAAGAACTAACATCTGAGTCGTGAAAAATAACATCCAATGATTCGGGCCCCTAGCATGGGCGGAAACATGATAAACTCTTTTCGTTCTCAGTTTTAACATCAAAAGCGATGACCCCTGATGGCTATAAACCACCGAGAGCATGAAATAATATAAAATTTTAGAGAGAGAGAGAGAGTGTGCGCAAAGTGGGAGTATATTGAATTCAAAATTCGGTCCATTACAATGAGGGGTGTCACCCCTTTTATAGGGGGTGCAATACACTAAGTCAAAGCTCTCTGTTCGAGGCCCGTCGTCTAGCGGACGTCACCTGCTCTTACGTCTTGTCCCTTTCATCCTATCGCTTTCACCAAGTCTTCGTTGAACGTCGTTTTCCGCACGTCTTGTCCCTTTCATCCTATCGCTTTCCTCAAGCCTTCGTTGAACGTCACTTTCCGCATGTCATTGTCGCGGGGCTCGGGCTCGGCTTGGTCGGCCGAGCAGGAAGGACGAGCGGAGCGCAGAGCCGGGCAGGAAGGACGAGCGGAGCGCAGGGCTGGGCAGAAACGTCCAAGCCCGATCCTTTGGAAATTTATGCTGATGTCAGCCCTAGGCTGGTGTGGGGTTATTCCCCATCAACCCCTCATCAATAGTTCTTACAACGGTTAAGATCCTCATGTTTAATTGTTCTAATGATGATTTTGAAAATGCACGGATTTGAAAATGTACTCGAAAGAAACTAATTACATAAGTCTTTGCGAATGATTGTAATTATACTATGAAAAGTTTTTTGCTTATTTTATTTTCCTTTTTCAGAATTTTTATTTTTAAAATTGGAGTACAACGTAAATTTTTGGCCAAATTACACGCTTGGTATTACTTATCAATTCAATATTCAATTCGTGTTTCAACTTAAATTCTTAATTACTAACGCTTATTTATTATTCTTATTATTCTTTTTTACTAAATCCGTGTATAAGGAAATTACTTTATTTAAAATACCTATAAAGTATAAATGGAAACACAACTGCAATTTTAATTAATAAAGTGGAAATTAGTGTGTCGTACCTGCTTGAGCTATACCAAAAAGTTTCTTCTTATGCTGTTATTTTATGAGTGCATTTAATTTTATTAACTATTTGATAAAATAAAATATTTAAAGGTATATTCCAAATTAAATTAAACCCCAAATTAATGGAAAGATTTAATGGTATTACTGGAAAGTTTTATCGGAAAGAGTATTACTCCCTCCGTCCCATTTTAAATTGCCTGTTTGCCTTTTTTCTCCGTCCCAAAATAAGTTGCCTGTTAGTTGTTTTCGTAAACTTTTAAAAATAAAATAGCTAAACTACCCCTAAAATAAGTTACTCTTCTTCACCTTATCTTCTCATTCATCATCACCCCTTCTAAAAAGTAATGACAATTTCGAAAAATCAACTCTATTTTTTATTTTCCTTAAATATGCCCAAAAATCAAAACAGGCAATTTAAATTGGGACGGAGGGAGTATATTACTTACCAATTTTTAAAAGGTAAGTAACATGGTACCCATTACTTTAAAACACTTACTTTCCCATTAGTATCGCGTTGGGGTTTAAAATTGGTCAATGTAGTCTTAGTATCATGGTACCTAATAAATGATAAGGAACACTCTTTCTATTAAAATTATTAATGCAATTAATGTAATAAGGAAAATGCTAGAGTCACAAATATATAGTTCAAAAACTTCACAAACTTTTCTTTTGTAGATTTTAAATTAAAATATCATTTATTATTTGAGTGCATTTTATTTCTAGGAAAGTGTTAAAAAGACAAGTTTGTAAATTTTGTGAACTATTTGTTTGTAACTCTAGTATTACTCATGTAATAATTATTCAAAACTCTTTTCGTTTTGAATCATAAATAAGAATACTAATTAAATAGGAAAACATTCTTTCCATTAAATAAGAATACTAATTAAATAGGTTTACTTTCCGATTTGAATAATAATAAGAATAATAATTAAATACAAAAACGGTTGAAATTACCTTTTTAATTATTAAAGGACGGTTAAAAATACGGTGCCCGCTTAAACCAAAGAGTAAAACGTACCACTTACCATTTTTTGAAAATTCCGTTTAGTATAGTGTTTTAATATTGAAAGAGTAAACGTGTCACTTACTATTTTAAAATTGAAAGATTATTCCGTGGACTTACCATTTTTTAAAAATTTCGTATAGTTATTTAGAATTGAGAGAGTAAAATGTGCCACTTAACATTTTTTAAAAATTTCGTTTAGTGTTTTAATATTGAAAGAGTAAAACGTGTCACTTATCATTTTAAAATTGAAAGAATATTCCGTGTCACTTACCTTTTTTTTTTTAAAAAAATTCCGTATAATTATTTAAAATTGAAAGAGTATAACATGCCACTTACCATTTTTTTAAAAATCTTTTTAGTGTTTTAATATTGAAGGAGTAAAACGTGCCACTTACTATTTTAAAATTGAAAGATAATTTCGTGCCACTTACCATTGTTTGGAAATTCCGTGTAGTGATTTAAAATTGAAAGAATAAAACGAGCCACTTACCATTTTTTAAAAATTTTGTTTAGTGTTTTAATATTGAAAGAATAAAACGTGCCACTTACCATTTATTCTGTGCGACTTACCATTTTTTAAAAATTTTGTATAGTTATTTAAAATTGAAAGAGTAAAACGTGCCACTTACCTTTTTTTTAAAAATTCCGTTTAGTTTTTAATATTGGAAAAGTAAAATGTGCCACTTATCATTTTAAAATTGAAAGATTATTCCATGCCACTTACCATTTTTTAAAAATTCTGTATAGTTATTTAAAATTGAAAGAGTAAAACGTGTCACTTACCATTTTAAAATTGAAAGATTATTTCGTGCCACTTGCCATTTTTAAAAAAATCTGTATAGTGATTTAAAATTGTAAGAGTAAAAGTGCCACTTACCATTTTTAAAAAAAATTGTTTAGTGTTTTAATATTGAAAGAATAAACGTGCCACTTACCATTTTAAAATTGAAAGATTATTTTGTGCCACTTACCATTTTTTTTAAAATTTCATATAGTTATTCAAAATTAAAATAGTAAAACGTAACACTTACCAATTTAAAATTGAAAGAGTAAAACGTATCCCTTACCATTTTTACTCACCACGCTTGGGCAGGAAAACACAACTTCCCCTCTTTTTCAATAAAGTATGAATTATTATTATTTTTTGGAATTTTTGGCTTATAACGGGACTACTTCAGACGTAAATTAGGTGGGGTCTACAAAATTATTTTTTCAAAATAATTTTGGAAAAATAATCTCCTATGCAAGACAAGTGCTTTGACATACTGTGCGCCACATATGGTGCTCGGTTGAATGAAAAATTAATTTACAAAGTCAGACACTTAGAAGAAGGAAACACACGTATCCCACATTTGTTTTGGGACCTTTCATATTCCACTATTTATATGCTAGCATTGAATTATATGTTAAAAATATTTGAGAACGAGGAAGGAGAGGACCCCTCGCGCACCGCCGATGCCGTCCGGGGTCAACTCTTATCTTTTTACCATTTTACGAGACCGAATTAAACACCAGTGTGGGAGGCGGCGCTGTAAACTTGCAGTTCAACATTTTTAAATTTATTACTCACTCCGTTCCACAAAACCCTTCCAGTTTTGACTTTGGGGAAAAATAAGGAAAATGTAATTTTGGTTGACTTTCCAATTTTGCCCCTGATGTGATGGGAAAAAGTAAGATGTGATAGTTTGGTTATTAGTGAAAAAGTATGATGTGATAGGTAGGGTATGAAAAAGTAGGGGTAAAAGTGGTTTTGTAATAGAAAGTGGAAGTGTTTTGTGGAAAGCAAAAAAAACGAAAGAGGAAGGATTTTGTGGAACGGAGGGAGTATAATTATTATCATTATTTGAAAACTATTATAATTATAATTATTCCCAAATACGCATGAGCTAGCGTCTACAATACCAGTGATAATATAAATTAAATCGCAACTAACAGCCAAATAAATAATATTTAATGCAAAATAATTAGGTGATTATATGATGACAGAAGCATGACGACGCTTTGATCTTTAAAGTCCAAATCTTGAGATATTTTTTTTATTTACAAATTGCCGACCCTTTAGCTGCTTTTGGCCTTCCCATCCATCACTTTCTATCCCTTTTTTTTTCAATAATCCAAATCCAAATTTCCCTCGAATTCAATGGTTATCAGAACGTACCATTATTATTGATGACGTCACTGGAACTGGAATGGTGGGTTCACAAAAATGCCCTGATTCATCAACAACATATTACTGCTGCTGCTCTGCTGGCTGTATTGGTGTGAGAATTGATCACCCAGGGCATAAGTGTAAATTCCATTGTTGTATGTGTTCATTTGGTGATCAAAGTTTATTGGGTTGTTGGTGGTGGTGTTGTTGTTGTTGTTCTCGCCCTGTAGGAAATGAGGGATTGATGGCCCAAAACAGTCCATTTCCGTACCCAATGAGCAAACCCTTCCCAGTTTCATTATTGTCTGTGCGTGTCCGCTCATTGCGTCCCCAAAAAAAGGTGCCATTTTCGTCGCGCCTCTTTCACTGTCGTATTCTTCTTCCGTCTTCATTCCTACCGCTTTCACCTGATTCTTCTTTTTATAAATTCTACACAGAACCCAATCGTCTAGCTGAAATTCAAAAAAAAAAATATTTTAAATATTATATTTAATTTGTATTATATTTAATTTGTAGTCACTGGACTGTGATAATCTTTTTTAGACGAAGAAACACAAAAAAAAACAAAATGCAAAAGGTTCATTAATTAATTATTACCCTCATGGAACCATTTTGTTTGACTTGAGATGGTCTGGAGTCACTAAGGCGGTATTCATGCATGATCCAATCCGTCTTGGTACCCTTTGGGGGTTTCCCTTTGTAGAAAACAAGAGCCTTCTTGACCCCAACATATTTTGAGCCGCTATGGATCGCCTTGTCCGTGCCCGTGGCCTTCCAATAGCCCGAGACGGCTGCCCGGTTGGGACGAACCCCGTTCGGGTACTTCCTGTCGCGGGGCGTGAAGAGGTACCATTCGTTCTCTCCAAACTCTGCTTTCTCTGCACCAACAAAAACAACTTTTAATTTTCACTACAATTATAAGTATAAACCGTTACCTGACATATGATGACATGTCTCAAAAAACCAACCAATTCAACTAAAAGCTCAAGTTTGTGGTCGCAAGATTTGAAAAAGTTTTTATATTCTAATAACAGTGATCGAGAAGCATAAGTGTACGCAAATATTATATAAACTGACCGGGCAACTCCCAAGGGTCGAACTTATAGAAATCGACTTCGGGGATGATGGAGACGGGGCAAGGGCGAGAAGTGGCTTGGTTGCGAAGGTAATACATGATGAGTTCTTCGTCGGTTGGGTGGAACCTAAAGCCAGGGGGGAGATTGCAAGTATGGTTGCCTACCATTTTAGTTTCCTATGCTACTTAGTTTATATGAATATATAGATGATAGAAAAGAGGAAGAAACTATAAGTACTATACTACTCCATACAAAGTTTTAGGAGAAGGGGAAGATGAGGTGTTGTTTGAAATGTTTGCAAGGATAGAGTTGGCCTATTTATTTGTGGAGCTTCCTTGTCGTCTTCCACGCCCACACAATTATAGACTCCCTTTTGTCCCATGAGACTTTTTTAGTTTTTATTCCAGGAAAGGAAAGTTGAAGAAGTTCGTCTAAGAAGAAATGTTGATAATTGAAACGAGTAGAATTTAGAAAATGTCAGAATAGAGAAGATGTAGATGACTATTGTTGGCCGGATACGTTAGATTAGATTTTAAAAAACAAGGGCATTTATGTCCATTTAGCGAAAATTAAAATAATTTTTGTGACAAGTAAAAAGGTATTTGTGTTCATTGATTGGTTGTATTTGACTTTGATTCCCATATATGCGGCTTAGGAATAGTGTTCTTTTTGTTCTCGTGGCATGCCAAGAGAATCCTTGCTATGTAAGTTAAAGTGTTTTGTTTTGGGGAGAAAGACCAAAGTAGGACTAAAACATTGTATATATACCAAAATAGGACTTTTATGTTTTTTATTCTCGAAATAGGACTTACATTACGAAACATGGTCATATACATTACCAAAAAGTATAGTAATGTGCACATGTACACTGCCACATTACCACAGTGCAAAGTCACATTACCACAGTGCAAAGTCCTATTTCGGGGAAAAAAACATGAAAGTCCTATTTTAGTATTTTTCTCTATGTTTTAGTCCTATTTAGGGTGATTTCTATTTGTTTTGGGATGAAGTTTATACTTTTTTTATTTGTTAGTCTTAAAATAATTTTGGTGAATCTCTTGTTGCATTTTTAAAAGATGAACATGTGACTCCTAAAATTTTAACCTTTTCTTTTTTTTTCCTTAGAAGTATGCACGTGTGTTTGTAGAGTAATAGTAAATGTTGTTAAAACTGTTAGTGCTGACTACTGAGTATTTTTATTAAGAGATTGGATTGACACGGTTCGCGGGCTTGAACATAAAGCTTGACCCTTGACTTTGCGTACTCCCTTTTGTTATGAGCTAGCTAGCCCAACCCCTACGCAAAAACTCCAAGCTTAAGACCATTTTTTTGAAGAGCCAGGTAGATATCCAAGGGTCGTGGTCGGGTCCAAATTTAAGCTCGATTAAATGATTTAGAAATCGGTTCCAAAAACTTACAATATTCAATTTCGCAATTAGTACGTACTTCTGCGATTTGGTTCAGGCTCTTCCTTCTTCGATGTGAAATCGTCGCAATCAATCAAGGAATCACGAGTGCGAACGGGTTTCGGGTACCTATCGGGAATTGGACACGTACCAAGCTTAGCTTACAACTCACAATTCCACAAATATGTGCATTTCAGTAACGCGGCTCCAAAGCCGTGGAAAAGAATAACCCCAAAAATTGAATAGTTCCAAAAAACCTTTTAAAAAAAGCGCCATCTACTAGTTCTCATCTGCATGCCTTTTAAACACATGAATTTATAGCTTTGACTGGGAATTGCATCCATCCATTATTTGATGATCTAAAAGGAGCTAATAATTATCTTTGAATAAAAGAGGTTTGTTAAAGTAGCACTTTGCACTATGGGAGCAGCTGTTGAGACTTTATCAATTAAGATGCATGGCTTAACTAATTGCTTGCTTGTGATATTTTTAAATTGCCAATTAACTTTAATTTATTAGGGTAGCTAATTAAGATAGCTTAACTTGCTTGCTTGAGATACTTTCTAAGTGGCCAACAACATGACTTCATTTCTACTAACTCTATTATAATTGTAGTCTTCGTCTCTACTTTATAAATCTAATGATGTACAATGAGTTAATGACTTTTGAAAATCGATTCTGGCCTGGTAGGGTAGGCATCCTATATACTTCTTTTGTCCCGAATTAAGTTGCATGTTTACTATTCACAGGGTCAAACTTTATACAGTATCTTTTCTTATTTTTGTTATTTATTTGGTAAAATAATAAAGTGATGTCACTTCTTGTTTTTGTAGAGGTTTTGCTATAGTTTTTAATATGTAAAATTTAATTTTTAATTCCACTGCACCCTAATACTATAATAAATTGCATTGAAAAAATAACTTCAGTCAAATATCTTAAACGAAACAGACAATTTAAATTGAGGACGGATGGAATAAAAGCTTGGACTGTGGTCTTCCTGCTACTCGAGCCAAGAAAAAAAATTCTATATATGTAATCTTAAGGAGATGGTTCCAATGACATTGGAACCCCATATCATGGAATGACACGGACCCGCTACGGTGCCCCGTTTATAAAATTGACGGTTCCTACCCCCTTAACCCCCGGTAAACTCTCACCCGTCCCGACTCGAACACACCCTCACCCCCTTCAATTACACCCCCAAATTAATTTTAACTTTGGAGTGATCAACATTGACTCCAAAGTCAAAATTTAACATGGGGTGCAATAGAAGAGGGTGAGAGTGTATTCGGGTCGAGACGGGGTGGGAGAGTTTATCGAGAGTTATAAAGTAGAAATTGTCAATTTTACGAACGAAGCACCATGCAGCCTTGGGTCATTCATCATCCCATTACGTGAGTATTTAATGTCATGAGAAGCTCTCCTTAATGTCAGCGAGATGGAATAATAACGAACGTCATCATATATAGTAGCAGTGGGCAAAACTATTAATGCGGGGACAATGAGGATTAACAAAAGATTAAAACCAAATCGTTTGTGTAATACTCCGTATGATCTTTTCTTTTTTTGAATAAAATAAAATATACTCCGCATAAAATACTCCGAATGATCTTTTAAAAATCCAATCCATCATTTCAGTATAGCAATAATTGGTTGAATGGCTTTCGAAGAATCAGAGTATATCATATTCCCTCACAAAGATTTGCTCATTTCGTAAGCAAATTAAGAAAGAGGAACGTAACACTACTTGCTTTTGAATTGCATTGCTGCATCTTTGACTTTATTGCTTCGGATTATATATCTTTTAAAAGTTTTACAGAGTACTAGCTCTCGTATTATGTGCGTGCGGGTGGGTCGGGACAATCGAAAACCGAACCAAAATCGATTGAACTGTGCCAATTTTTATTATTTGAAATTTGCTACACATATTATCCTGAAAGCTTTGACATAGGGTGGTAGAATAAGGTATCCATTCTGTTTCTTATCGCATCAGAAGCTAACCCATATGGTTTAGAAGAATAAAGTAGCCATTATGTTTCTTGAACAATTACATATGGCGAAATTTGCACTAAATAAGACTAAAGCATAAGTCATTTTCCAATGTAAGACTTAAATTTTTTTATTCCCTAAATAAGACTTAATAATGTCTAAATGAGAGGAATAATGTCCAGTAATGATGAACATTTAGTTAAATAATGACTAATTGATAATGACCAAAAGTCCTACATTGGGAAATAAAAACATATGATCCTATATTGAGAAAGTCATTATGTTTTAGTCCTATTTAAGTAAATTTCTTTTATATATGTATGTTATGTTGTTTTTTTAAACTTGGGCAAGTAATCAAGCATGTACTCCATGGCAGTTTCTCAATTTTGGATTGTAATTTCAGTTTTTGGAAAGATACTTAAGGTCCGTTTGGTATATGGAATTGAAATTGAAATTCAATGGGTTTCAATTTTATAGAATTGAATTCACCAATTCCAATTCATTTTTGCACTATCAATTCCAAATCTACATAATTTTTGTGCTACCAAACACCAGAATTGGAATTGAAGTCCTCAATTCCAATTCCATAATTTGAATTCAGTATGCCAAACGGGACCTTACAAGTTTTGGGACTTATAATTACTACTCCCTATCCCCGGTTCTTTTAAACACTTCTTATTTTGACTTTGGGCCAAAATAAGGAAAATGTAATTTTAGTTGACTTTCAATTTTGATAAGTAAAAGTAAGATGTGATAGTCTTGCAGTGCATGTTGCACAACAAGACTTTTAGAAGCATAATAGGACAAACGTCATAGCTAATTTGCCTAATTATATTGCTTTTTAAATTGTTGATGCGAAAATAGATTGAAACAAAGAGAAGAAGAACAAAATACATTAAATAATAATGCGCCGCCGTGAGCTCCTCCACTTTACCGCAGTCCGCAGAATGCTTATCCTCAGTCCTCACGCCTCACGGACCGTATTATAATGAGGAACTTATCCATTCCAGTCCAAGTAGATTAATGAGTGTTAGCCCATGTATATTTTATGTATAATAGAAGCATTCATTGCATTGGGCTAGTTAGGTTGGACTCCTCGTGTGTATCACCTGGAGGACTCTTCGCTTGTACTTCGTGTTATCCTCCCTCCGTATATAAATGTTTACCACAATTCTAAAAACGAGACAAAATATCAAGTTTTTTCAATTTATTTTATTTAAATATTGGTATAATAAATAAAAAATAAAATTTACATATTTAAAAAAATGAAAAGTTTTACAAAATTAGAGATGTCAAGAATATTTTATTTTATCAAATGAGTAATGAAAACATACAAATAAACAAAAGTTCTGGTGGCTTTTGAAAAAGCAAATGTGACAAACATTTTAGAAGCGAGGAAGTATTATAGATGACTAGATTACCCATTTTTTCGTGCAACGAAATATATATAGGAATATTTGTCTTTAAAATAAAAAGTTCTACACCGACATCGACATTAGAGGTTAGCGTTGTCGTTTTTGATAAAATTATCTGACGATAGTCTCTACCTTTAGCGTTTTCAGCAGTAATCTATATCATTAAAATTTTATCAAAACGTTAATGCTAATTAAAAATGTTGTTTCTAAAACCTGTACGAAAATACAAACTAGTGAGGAATTATTTCCTAATTAGTGGGAATGTACTCCATATATAGAATGGTAATTGCTCAAGACTAATTAACTACACAATCCCATACACTGAAAATAATTACTCCGTAGTATTATTAAATAAGAACGGTTCTATCGTTATATGTAAAATGGGATAATCTTAATTATAATAGAATGCAAAATTATGAAAATAATAGAATAATGAAAGTAAATTATAATAATATTTTATTTCCATGGA